GATGCCCTGCTAATACTGCTTCAATAAACATTCCTTCTGAAGAAGAGAGTTGTTGAGTCTGATTGCTGCAGGAATCTTACAATAGGCCCTTCTTGGCCATGGAACCAGAATCATGGAATTCCCTCCCCAGGGAGATTTCTGTCCCCCTCTATCATTGTCTTGTTGTTGTTGTTCAGTCGCACAGTCGAGTCTGACTCTTCGCAACCCCATGGACAAGATCACGCCAGGCCCTCCTGTCTTCCGCCGTCCTCTGAAGTTGGCTCAATTTCATGTTCGTTGCATCGATGACACTGTCTAACCATCTCATCCTTTGCCGTCCCCATCTTCTTTGACCTTCAATCTTTCCCAGCATCAGGGTCTCAGCATTGTCTTATTATTTATTTATTTTATACCCCGCCCTCCCCAACAAAGCAGGCTCAGGGCGGCTTACAGGCCCATTGGCATAGCATAAAAACATTAAACAGTAATGTTTAACATTTAAACAGTAACATCTGTTTCATTGGACATTCCATCCTTCCGGTTTATGTGTTTTGTTTAATTGTTATGTTTAACTGTTTTTATGCTATGTATTTCAAAGATGTTTTAATGTTTTTGATTGTTTGCTGCCTTGGGAACCTTAAGCTGTGTGGAAAGGTGGCTTAAAATGTTTTAAAGAAAATAAATGAAAGGTATTGCCCCCAATGCCATAGAGATCCATTCCTTTGCGCATATACTTCTGCCTGGTGATGCCTATCCAGGCCACACTAAACCAGCCACATAAAATCTTTGTATGGAGCTATGGAGCTCCATCCAGGACCATTAGTTGTTGCACACCAGTGGTATTTTAATCAAACGTTCTGCATTTATTTGAGCCTTATTTGAGTCTTCCATTCAAGCTGGCAGTCAGGAAATTTCATCCCATCCCATGTTTTGTAAACTGCTTTACAGATGTCTTGTTTATCTTCACAATACTCCTGCCAGGTGTGTTATGCTCATTGAGTCACCCAAGAACCACCCAATAAACTTTATGACCAGGGAAGAATTTAAAGCTATCACGAGCATATGACGCTTTAACTGCCCTAGACATGCAGTATTTAAAGGTTTGTTTAAATCCTGAAATTTCGACAGAAGTTCAGGGAAATCAACTTTTATATTTTCTTTGGTGTCAGAATTGGGTAAGACACAACCGTTTCTGTCATATCAAAAAAGCGTGGAACCATTTAAAAATCTGGCCCAAAATCTAGTACGGTTCCTATAAATTAACTTATGTATCACTTTCTCCACCCTTATTTTGTTTACTTATCTAGTCAGTTAAATTTCCATTTGATACAGGCTGCAAGGAAAAGAAAAGCACTTGTTCTTCAAACACTGGAGAAACACACTCCATTTATAACGTACAGCTAGACAAGTGGGAGCTAAAACAGTGGTTTCTAGGGAGGCATAGTAAATACTAGGGATGGGCACAGATCTGGACCACAGACCTAATTTTTCCATAGATCAGGGCCCAGCTTGTGGTCCATGAGCTCAGTCCATGCACCCACTGACACGGACATCCCAGGACAGTCCGAGGAGGTCCATAGGCCTCTGTGGGGGCAGGGTTGCAAAAGCCCTGCTGTGTGTGAGTGAAGGCTGAGTGGTGACTTCACCCAATTCCTGGTGGGATTCACCCACTAGGCCTTCACTCGTACACTGCCCAGCTTTGCAAAATGTGCACACTCAAGTGAAGGCTGAGCGGCGAGTTCACCCACTTCTGGGTGGGTGAGCTAACTGCTTGGCCTTCACTCATACGCCGCCCAGCTTTGCAATAGCCATTTAAAATTTAATTGCAATGAGGCCAAGTGGTGCATGAGTGAAGGCCAAGTGGTGAGTTGCTGCTCAGCCTTCACTCCCATGCCGCAGGACTTTGGAAGGCCATTTAAACTTTAAATGGCTTTTGCAAAGATGCTGAATAGCGACTATCACCCTCTTCCAGTTCACCCGTAAGTGAACTGGAAGTGGGAGGAGTTACAGCTCAGGTGTCAAGGTCCAAATGGACCTGATCCAGTCCATGAAACATGGTGGCTTGTGGTCCAGGGGTCCATGGACCCCACAGACCAAACAGACCAGACATACCACCGTTTTCCTGGACTGTGCCCATCCCTAGTAAATGCCCAAAGAACTGCAAACTCCAGCTGTGAGCTTTGTAACTGGACCATCTAGGATCAGAACACTAACCCATTGCCGACAAGCATCGCAGTGCAAGAGGGTGCTTGAAGTGATGATCATTGCTGCATGTCAATAGTCCCGCTTCCCTAGGGCTCCCTTTCTTTGGGCACTTAATGCATGCTGTGGGTCTAGGGTTCCCAGCTCTAGGTTGGGATACACCTGGAGATTTTGAGGGTGGAGACTGTGGAGGGCGGGGCTTGGGGTGGGGAGGGACCTCAGCAGGCCACCCTCCAAAGCAACCATATTCCTCCAGGGAACCTGACCTCTGTCACTCAGGGATCAGTTGAAATCCCAGGAGATCTCCAGCCACCTCCTGGAGGTTGTATCCATATAAAGACATTCCCGTGAATGAATTACGAACAAAAGCAGAAGGATTATACTGTACAAAACAATTCAAACAGTTTTAAATCTTTGTTAAAGTTCAACAAGCCCTTATATAGTCTTGAGTTCCTGGATGGGACTGTCTTTAAAACTTCCTCTTTATTTTTGGCTACTAGGACTTCCAAAAAAACCCCACAACAACCAATAAAAATACGTTAGGTAAAGGTAAAGGTTTCCCTGGCTCAAAAGCCAGTCGAATCCGACTCTAGGGATGCGGTGCTCATCTCCGTTTCCAAGCTGAAGAGCCAGCACTGTCCAGAGACTTTTTCGAGGTCATGTGGCCAGCATGACTAGACACCAAGGCTCACAGAACGCTGTTACCTTCCCACCGAAGCAGTACCTATTTATCTACTTGCAATTTCTTGCTTTCGAACTGCTAGGTTGGCAGGAGCTGGGGCCAGAGACGGGAGTTCATCTTGCGGCACTTGGGTCTTGAACTGCTGAACTACCGACCTTCCGGCCTGCAGTTCAGCGTCTTAACCACTTGAGCCACCGCAGCCCCCAAAAAGACATTACTCAGCTTCAGTTTTTTCCACCCGGCACACTGAAGACACAATATTCCGTTTTCACAACTGCTAAGAATAAAGAGAAATTCAACTAGGGAAAGTGATTATTTACAGGACTCTGAACAACTTCTTTGTG